TACCCAGACTGTGGACAAAAATGCACCTACCTCAAAGCGAGGATGACCTTGAGCGGAAAGCCAAAACCCTCAGCCAGTCAGTGCCAAGTTCATTTTATCCCTGATGAAAAGGGATTTCTGGATCTTTCAACCAGCACAGGACTGATGGAGGATTTCAGAAGTTTCACTGAGTTTCAAACTTGGGTAATAATAGGAAGCTAGGCTTAGGATTCATTGTTTCCCTAAGCATGCTCTCTCTCTCTTTCTCTCTCTCACACACACACACACACACACACACACACTTGTATCTGTATCTTTGTAAGGACACTCCTTGACATAATGCATTCCCTGGCCCCTTACCCTCACCTGAATTACATCACAACTAAACATCTAAACCTGACTCAAACCTAAACCTGATTCTAACATGACCCCTGAAATCAAGCCTCAGTCCTTAAACCCTCTATAACTGTAACTGGTCCTCACAAAGATGGAAGTACAAGCACACGCACATGCAAACACACTTTCAACACATTCCAATAATGCTGATAAACTGAGTGCAGAAAAGAAGCTGGGACACTTTGGAGGCTGTGACTTGACGTCTTGATGTAGATCAGAGTTTTCTCTGTGTTCAGCTTTATGTGAAAGTGGTGAAGGCTTGTCAGCTGACAGAGAGGACTCAGAGTTTTCTCTCATCAAAATCTTTGTGTTGCAGCGATTCGGCTGGTTTGTTCTAGGTCACACTGCTGAGAGATCCGTATGGGGCACAGGAAGTTGATATTGCTCCGCATCCACAGACCAGTGCCAACTCCTAAAAATCTTTGCTGCCAAGGACAACACATGTACATTATTTTTAGATGGAGGTCTTAGTAAGTGTTTAATTTCAGCTATGTCGATTTTGTGCTGAATGTGCAGGCTTTATACCAGTAAAAAACTAAATCAGTTGAACACCGTCTTTACTTGGCCTTTGAGAATCTTAAGACTGCACAAATACCAAGGCTATTTTTGCTGTTTTTATCATCTTACTTATAGTGGGGTTAAACAGGGTGGTTGCTAGAGGAAAGGCCATGAGGACATTAAATATTAAAACAATTCATCCCCTTGGGAGCATGAATGTGCTTAGCAAATTTCATGGCAATCTTCCAATTAGACCATGAGACTGCACGTAAAACACATACTTTGGCCGTAGAGTGGTGAAAGATGAAAGGTCAGCGTGACTGTCTAAGCAATTTAAATGGAAAGTGAACAATTTCTGGGGAGCATGTGTGGCAATTTTTGCCAATGTCTTGTGTAAAACTGGATCTTTTATCCCGATGGTTGATGACAAAGTTCAGTGTGTCCAAATTAGGATTCATCTTCTGGTGATCATAAACATTATGGCGATCTGGCCTGCCTTGGTCATGTGACTCTGTGACCGGTCCAAAGTGCTGGATAAAATTAACTAGCTGACATCTCCATCCTTAAGACTGACGTGTCAAAATCAAGGGGAGAATACATATTTTTAAAGAGCAGAAGAGGATGAAGAAACTTGACAGGGTGATTTGAAATGACAAGTATCTATCCTCTTGGGACCATATGCCTTATACCTCTTAAAGATAACCACAACATGCATCCTCTGTCATTACATTTCTCAGAGAACAGCCATGGCATCTAAGACTGGATGGTGTACAATCCTGCAACCTACCTGTTCTATGTTTTATTTTCATATGTACGTGACTTCGTGTAAGCAGAAAAAATATATAATGGAGTATATAACAACAGCCATAATTTAAAAAATAAATTCATAAATAAATGAATAAAAATGTCAGACTTTTCATTCATTCATTCATTCATTCATCAATTCATTCAGTCATTCATACAGTAGTGCTATGTCTAGTTCTAGCAGTTATCCACAAGGTGGCAGTACATACAAACCAGCTGCAGTGGTAAAGGACAGTGCCGCCCTATCCACCACTAAATTAAAGATGTAATTAAAGATGGTGCGTTTAAGATAAGCTGTCTTTCTCTCTGTCTTCTCTACTTTACAAACAGTTCATCACAACTGCATAATCCTAAGAAATTCTAACATTTTCATCCAGATCTCTCCAGAGATGATCGTGGTTTAGACACTACTTATTATAAGTTTTTGTATGTAACTTCACATCAGTCCAGATACACATGAGTTCACATGTTTGCTTTATTCTCATATCATCTAGCTCTGAAAAAAGGTGTGACATGGACAAAGAGCAGGTCATGGGACAGTATTTTATCAAGTCAAACACACATTTATCTGATTCAAAGCAGAAAAAGGATAGTAAGGATAAAGTCAGCAAACTGAGCTTCAATAGTGAATGCCAGAGGCAAAGGGGTCTTAGTGTCCTGGTGATAATGTAATATTTATCAAAATTACTTAATTCTAAAATGACTCTGACTTTCATTGCATTCACTCTCGGTGCCTTAATCATACACAAATGTTTACCAGCAGTTGTGTTAGCAGCATGGCACATGTTAATTTTCACTTAATATTAAGTAACTGAGGATCAATGCATGTCTTTTTATGTACTCAGCATTGTCATAAATGTTTTATTTACCCGCTTTGTATTTTCTGATAGGGCAAACTAATACTAATGCAGTTTGCAAATGCACTAATTACATTCAAGCCACACTCCAATGATTCATGTTAATGACTTTGGAAGCTAATGTTGATTTACTTTGGTCTCAAGCTCACCATACATAATTTATTTAGTGAAATAATTAGTCCAGTGCAGAACCAGCTTACCTTTTCATATGATCTGTAAGCAGTGACTTCAAGTCACTTGGGGCTCTTTACATATTATTTCTGAAACCCCATTTTACCAAGAATTTTTATTTATTTATTTATTTTTATCACAGTGTAATTGAAGTAAACAATGAAATACTAGAAGACGATATCATATCTATGAGTGGTTTGAGTATCTGGCTTTCTTTTATAATTTTGTATATTACAAGTCAGTCATAACCAAACATAACATAACAACAACCAAACATCAAACACGACTCATGTGTCACTCAGACATGCTCAGCACTTTGGCAAGATCAAACTCAGACATCACTGAAGAAAACATCACATGCCCGGTTAGTGTCAGAAAAGACATCAATTTTGTTTTATTGTGGATGGAAAATTTCATATTTTTCTCAATGCTGACATACTGTACACTGGAATGAAAAATATCTTCCGCTTGTGGAAAGAGAGGTAGTCGAAAATTATGAAAATGTGGGGGAAAGACATCAGAGATAGACAGTAAAGGGTGGAACACTTCATCACAGTTTTTGATGTTTACACATTATATTATCGTCTTCACAAGTGCTGCTGTAAGACCAACTGGACTGTACAGTTGTAGACAAGTGCAGACTTTCTGTTGATCCACATGGTGATGCTTCCAGTCTCTGTTAAATAGGGAGACAAAAATGTCTTTTCATTAAAATAATGCATATGCATGCATTTTTCAAATAATGATAAAAGACAAAGTCAAGAGTATAAAAGTGCATATGAAATAGTTAAAATCATTAAATCCTAATAATATTTATGACCCATAGGAATTTAGAAAACAAGCCACAAGAATATTAATACAACTAAATTTTGAGTATCAGTGTGTTTCATGTCTTTAAAAAGTTCAAACATAATTATTATTGCCAGTAAATCTTAAATGCAAATTGACTTGTTGATTTGTTGCTTCACTTAAAATCCACTTAAACATTTTGATGGGTAAGCACTCTATTTAATTATGCTTGTTTTATATTTGCTCTCCCCTCTTCTTTGACATTTAATTTTAAAAGATGTTTGATAATGTTAAGATGGTACATTTAACTGTAATTCCAATCTTTCAATAAATATCGAAAAGGAGATGCAGAAGATTTCTTTGCAGGCCGTCACAGAGTGAGATGGCAGACAGATTCCTCTCGTAAGATGGTAGTCTGGTGGTTTAATTGCTAATGATGAAATGAACGTGTGGGCTACAGTCCATCCAGGAAGCCACCTGCTGTATCAACATGTTATATATTCATTACCATGCTTGACCCTGGATTTAAGTGGCCTGATAATCAGACTGAATTACAAATTTGTTTCACTTTACGGAATAAATCAGAGATGTGGGTGGTGACTCAAGAGGCCTTGACTTTAGAGGTCAGAAGCTGTCATGAGCTCTTGTGGCAATATGACCTCAGTCCATAGCCCTTTTAAAATTATTATGACAAGAACAATTTTTTAGACGCTGGTAGCAGTTGCAGGTGGAGAAACAAGACCATATAATTAATTTGCCCATCATGGTCTGTCTACATGCAATCTGCAAAGGGACTTTGAGGCAAAAATGAGCTATTGATCTCCTTCCCCCCCGCATAGTGTGCAGTATTTCTCTGTTAGATTAATACATGACCCTACTCTCCTGTGTGGCAACTCTACTGAATGCCAACTAAATTGAATATATGCACAGTATAAGCACATTATTAGATAAAATAAGGAAGATCTGAGATTTCGACAGAGGTTCCCTCTTCAACAAAAGGCATCAGATTCAATTGTAAAAGTGACCCAACCAGTCAATGTAATGTTTTAGTGTTGTTTATTCTCAAACCATTAAAACTGATTATATTACACTACTGATACAATTGAATATATTACCTCAAACTGATAATCACACAGTTGTGATTGTCTTAATAGCGGAATATCACGTCAATCAATTTTTATTAGTAGCCTGCAGTTCACAAAATCACATCTGAGTCATTTGTGTTTGACTTGTCATTATGTACTTTTTCCGTCTTTGTCTTTTGTATCTTATTCTTAATATTAACATGATCTTAAATTCAATGATAAATAAAGATCAAATCGTTGTTGTAAATCAATAAAGCTGTTACGTTGTGTGCCTATTATCTATTCCACAGAAGTCTTGATATTCTGAGTTTTATTTTGAAAGATGAAACAGGAAGTTTTATTTTGTAGTTTATTCTGGTTAAATTGGGTACCGGGGGCTAAATTGAGACGTTAACGTCACCGAGCACTCTGCTATCTGTAGTTCACCCCTGAGCTCTGAACGTTGACACAATGTCAGATAAAATGGAGGTTAACCTATCCGGAGTCAAACAAAGTAAAGGCGTGTGGCTTGTAAAGGTTTGTTCAACTGCAAATGTAGCAAAGTAACCGAAGTAGCACATTATTTCAGTACAGTAACAAGTGTTTATATATATATTTTAACGGAATAAGTTTGTCAACTTGTCAACTGAAGCTAAGCTAGCAAGCAATTTAACTGAACGAATTACATTAACTTACTAAATTGAGCACTGCTTGTTAGTGTCATTCTCATAGAAATAGGAAAAATTGGAATAAAAGTGATTAATTAAAACTGTAAAGAGATGTGTTTTGTTGAGTCAGTTTTGTGTGTATGTAATTTAAGTTGGATCATATCCCTCACCAGGTTCCCAAGTATTTATCTCAGCAATGGGACAAGGCCACAGAAAGGGGAGAAGTTGGAAAGATTACAATTGGAAAGTATGTGCCTAACTTTTCATTAAGAAGCCTCTAATACATTTTATTGTTCCCTTCATATGATTATCAGTATTAGAGCTGCTACAGTTAGTCCATTAATTGATTAGTTGATCTGTTAATGGACAGAAAATTCTTCAGCAGCTATTTTGAAAAGGGAATAATGGTTCAAATTATTAAAAAAAATATTTGCCAGTTTCATCTTCTCAGGTTTGAGTATTTAATGCTTATCTTTGGCATACATGATGGTAAACTGAATATATTGAGTTTTGAACTGTTGATTGGACAGAACAAACCATATGAAGATGCTGACTTGGACTGTGGGAAATTTGACAGGGTATTTTTCACTAGTTTCTGACATTTTTCATCATTATGAACAAAATGATTAATCAGTTTATCAGGAATATAATTGGCAGATTCATCAACAATGATAGCCATTAGGTACAGCACTAAATCGTATCAGTGATGTACACTTTTTCTGTCTTCTCATACACCTGACAGAAAGCAAGACAAAACAGAGGTGAGACAACTTCATATGATACTGCACAGACAGTTTGTGCAGTAGACCTGTACAACTTTCGGCATGGGGGGGGGGGGGGGTTAGTGGCAGTGATTGACACATTGATAAACTGTGATAATCTTGTAAGCCCTTTTCACTTATTTGGTGAATTAACAAGCACATTGATTCAGCCAGCGTGACTCTTAATTACTTGTTGCTAATGATCGTTTTTGCCAGATTATACTGCCTTTTCCGTTGTCTTCCTATTTCTTCTTTGTTTTCATGTTTGTTCTGTCAGTGTTTGCTGCTGCACTGAACACTGACTTCTCTCAGGTATCAGTTTCATCATGTCATATTTGACCTTATGTGGTGAATCAAAGTCAGCAGTGTCTTGACTCAGCTGTGTTTCTCAGGTATGTTTCAGCCTGAATGCGGAGCTGAGTGCTTTGGGCGCTGTGGGGGAGAAAGATGGAACACTGCAGGTCCCAAGGGATCATCCCTTCACTATGCACACAGTGGGTGGACAGACCATGGCTGTCTTCAGCCAGAGCGACACAGGTCAGTCTGCATCTCAACTTTTCCAGCCCTTCGCCTCTCTGTTTCTTTTGTGCTACATAATATAATCTGAAACACGTGCTTGACAGGTCGTTAGATGGTTCAAACTGAAATAGATTTGACAATATATGTGAGTCCTGTAATGGTCCGCAGGCCAGTGTGGTTTTTCTTGATTCAGAATGAGCATGTTGCGGTTTCCCAGAAGAAAAGGAACATAATATAAAAAAGTTTGTCTTAAATCTAAAATGTAGTCAGAATTACAAGTTTGGTTGACTTTCTTGCACAAGCTAAACCAGTTTAAAATGTCTTTTAATTAATTTGGATGGAGAGACAAATCCTGAAGCTTCTCTTTTGACAGATAATAGAGAATGAACTCACAGGGAATTTACTCAGCATAGTTCCATATCACATGACATGTAGCCTTAGTTCTTCTAGTTTCATAGGTTTTCTTGCTTTGCTACATTGATTGCACTTTGAAATTCATGATGAACAATGAGAGTGGCTACTGCTTTATGGAGGATGTTTGCTGCCAGGCATGATGTGTCATACTGCTTTATGAGCCAGCGAGATTGGCAGGAATTTGCATCAGACACAGAGCTTAAAAATAGCTTAAACTGTACAGTTTAGTGTCTAACAGCATGTGACTTGAGAATTACAATAGATTATGATGTTACTTTAACTGGGATAGCTTTATAGTTAACTTTCATGTAACAGAGTAATACAATAAAATGATAAGGAACTTGATTTAATTAATATTTCAAGACAATACAAGGTAAATGACAGAAAAATCAAACAGAAAAGGTGGTTGAGATGGAATAAAATCAAAGATAAAAATATTCTGTTACTTATTAAAAACTTTAAAATGTCAAGGGCAATTCTGTACCTCCCAGGTTGCCAGTGCTCAGTAACAATGAAAGTACTGGTTCTCAAGGTATTTTTGAAATATTTCTAGAGTGTCAGGAATTTAAGTGTAGGGCTGCTTAAACATGGCATGTTCTAAAGGAAAATCAGGAAAGTTTATTGGTGAATTATATTGAATGATTCAACTTTTCTCAGCTTTTATGAAAGCCAACTGCAAAAATGTGCTGCATAAGATGGACACAGCAGAATCATGAATTAGCTCATGCTGATAATGTGTGATGTATTGCAGAGAAGCCAGAGTTGTTGTTGACGGACAATCCAATATATTTAAGGTCCAAAATCAATGTTTGATATGCTACGATTTGTGTAACAGATTTGAAAGTAGTGACTTATTAGTGTGTTATTTGTCCATGGTGCATGTGGAGGTCAGCGACAGTATATTTTTTTTCTCGGGTTAATAAGCTGTTTTTATCCCCAAGTGTTTTGTTACAGTATCATTTTGGCTGTGTTGGGGCCAAACTACACAGCATATAGATTTTACATGCCTTTATCTAGTGTAGTCATGTGTTTAAATTCACTTCTATGTGAAGTTAACCAGCAATTATTAAGTGGCCATTGGCATTTATGACTTTGGTGGTTCAAATTTCAGCGCAAATGGAGTCAGATCCTGTAATAATCTTAGTGTGAAATGGTCTTTGCTCTCTCCGGTGCCATCAGGGTCAAGCTTTTGAACTATAAATGTGAACAAGGAATGAACGGAACTTGTCATGACCCGACAAGTACATTGATTTAAATTATGAGAACAGCCGAGAGAAACAGGAAACGTTTAAATAATTGTCTCATTAAGCAGCTGAGCAGACAGTAAAACAAGATACAGGCAGATAAGGAGCACATCAATTACATTACTTTTGTTAGCAGGACATCCCTTGGTAGTGGGGAAAATACACTGGAGCACGATGTTGTTTTGGTCAGTATGGTACATATAAAGCTGAATCCAATCGTACTGTTAGTTAACTCCAAACTGGATGTTGTGTAAGTGAAAATGAGAAAGGAAAAAAAAGAAAAATATTAAGAAAAATATTAAAACCGGCACTATCTGTATTTTTCTCTTTTCTTTCTTCAGGCCACAAAAACTAATCATTTTCCAGTTCCTGTACAACCTTGTGTGCTTGCAATGAACAAATATATTCTCCAGTATTTTGAAGGATATTACTCAATCCTTTTAAATGTTTTGATGGAAGCTTGTATAATGGCATAGGAAAGAAAAGTAAATTAGATTAAAAAGATGTTAGTGTAGTAGATCTATTAACAATACTTCAGATGTGCAAAAAGAGTTGAATTAAACTAAACAATGAGGTGAAAGGCTCTGGAAAGCTGAGTGGAGCTGCAGATTTATCTGCTTTTGATAATACCTGCTTTAAGGGGCATTTTCAAACATTTATGTGCTAATCAACTAATCAAAAGAGTGAAGAGAAAAGGGAAAAGTGAGAGAACACAGCACACATGGGTGAACAGCTGAAAAGGACCAAGCAAGAGAGGTAACCTGCACTGAAACTGAGATTCAGCTGTGGAGGTTTAGTAGAGATTAGGAAGGAACTAGAGCTGCAGACTGGAGTCTTGCAGTGGCCTTCAGATATTAACCTGCGAGAACATTTAGTATAAAATACATGTGTCTGATGTATGTATATATGAAAAGGGTATTACTGAGCAAGGTAACTGGCAGGAAATTTGAATTTCTGCATGTTAAGGCTCTGACTCTCTCTTTTCATCAGGGTATATTCGACAGCCACAACATTTATTCTATCACCGCCCTCATGCACTTTAGATGCACCCACACTTGCATGTGCGTTAATACCTCCTACATGTGATAATGGATTTTTCTCTTTCATGTTTTTTTTCCTGTTATTTCAGTCTCTTATTACTACCAAAAACAGCAACACTTCAAAATGCTCTGCAATGATTTTTTTCTTCAAAAATTCTGTTGGATTATTGAAAAATACATCCAGACTCAAACAAAACTACTAAAATTTTGTATTTTATTGTCAGAGAGGATCATCAGTGTTATTTTCTTGTGTTTAACTGTGGAAACATGGCATTCAGGAGGTGTGAAAGTCTCTTGGCTTTTATCTTAAAGGTGTCAGTGCTCCAGATGGCTGGCTTCACTGTGAAAGTGCGCGGGAAACAGAAGTAGGAATATGTCCTCAGAGATATGATGGTGTATAGTTTCTATTTACCTGACTGACGCTCAGCTCCACCCCCACTGGCCCGCAGAAAGGTGTATGGTATGATACTGGTCTCCCACTCACTTTCCTGTGGTCTTACTCTTTTAAAATACGAAAGCGTGCACACACACACACAAAAACAAGCTTCTATGCTATCCAACCTCACTGTACCTGCACTTATACACTTGCAATGGTTTGATCTGCACTTGTGTCCTCACTTTCACACTTTTTGCCTCTCACGTACTCCGGTTTTACAGATTCTTGACGCCTCAGAAAGAGCGGGTCTACTTTTTTCATTTTGAAATATTAGATTTACATGTGCGAAATCTAGTTTGAAATCTTGTCAGTTTTTACTATATTACGTTCACATATGCTCCTTGTAAGACTTATTTTTTAATTTTCAATTCAGAAGATTAATGTAGACATCAAACACAATGTTTGAAGTCGGACACTACTGGCTCTTCATGTCGATTTTTCACAAACAGGGAGTTTTAGCCATCTCAGTAACAAGGACATTGCCCAGTTAAATCATGACAGAATATACCACAGTGTTAATACAATTAATGTTGTCACAATACCAAGATGATGACTTTGATACAATACCTACATAAATATCTCCATACTGATACTGAACAATACCATGTGTCTGTTCTCATTAATTGGTCATTTTTACATCAAATTTTACTAAATAGAAATCTAAAAGATGCGCTCATTACAGAGCTGACCTCCACCAAGGAGTTGAGTAATTTATGTTCAGTCTACTTTTGTGCAACTATTGAATAAAGCTGACTTCAGCATGAAGTCAACGACTTGCATTTTATGTAATTTATATTTATCCACGATCTGAATCATGAAACTCAGGAAATACAGCTCTTAAGACATTTATCAAATGGGGTATAGTACTGTTTTTAACAGCAGGTTATTGCGATACCTTTCTAGTATCAGTATACCATGCAACACTAAATACAATACCACTTAACTAGAGTACTTCTGCTATGATAGGTCTCTTTCTACTGCCCTACTAACATTACTGCTTCTACTGTTACAGTACCACCACCACATAATGGGCAAAGCCCACAAATTCTCTGCTCATTTTCTATTTTTGCAGAGTATGAAGATAATGTCTTAATGTACCCTGCCAAACCCGAAATTGACAAATTTCAGTTGAGATAATAACTTTTGTAATTTTGGATGCATTATAGGGCACAAATACAAAATCCTCCCGACGCTGGTGATCCCTGACATTTCAGTTCACTTCACTTCATTACTCAATACATAAAATTCATAATGATGCTAGTATTGTGTTTAAGTGTCACATAGTCATATATTAAAAAAAGTATTGCAGTGATGTACAGTTCACAAAAAGGGACTCAGGTTGTTGTGTGACCAAACAGAACACAAGCATTTATTCCTCACTAACACCTAAAATGGGCTAAGACAACTCTGTCTGTGTTCATTTGTTAGGAAATATGTAATCCAGCTAGCCATGCAGTATCTAATACAATCCGTACATCTCAGACTCTGTATAATCCATTCCTCCACCTCTGTTATACAAGTATTCAGCGAGCCAACAATAGCGAGAGGTTTCTCATGGTGACTGTCAATGATTGATATGTACACAAATGATGTCTGACATGGCTTTTGTACTGTAAGGCTGCTAGCTAAATGTTCCTCCATTATTTCCCCTCTCGTTCTGCTTTGTTCCGGCAAGGACCAGGTATTGATTAAGAGGTTGCTAAGCAACAGGCTTAGTTGCCACAGAAGCGTGCAGAGGAGAGCAGAAAGCCAGATGTAATGTACTGCTCTGTTACAGTATGACTTTCTTTCAGTTCCCCCCTAAAGCATTTCAATGAAACTTTGCAATTCTTTTAGTCCTTTGAAATTACTGAAAAACAGAACAGATTGTTGTTTTTCATTTTG